GTGCCAGCTGAAATCCTCTCTGGAAGAGGAGGAGGAGGAGGATGGAAGAGGAGGAGGATGGAAGAGGAGGAGGATGGAAGAGGAGGAGGAGGATGGAAGATGGAGCTGGGGGCCACCCCAGGTTTGTTTTTATTGACAACAGCGCCCGGTGCCAGCTGAAATTCTCTCTGGAAGATGGAGAGGAGGATGGAAGAGGAGGAGGAGGATGAGTCCCTGCTTCCCAAACACACCATCCCTGCGTTGCTCTGAACCCTGGTGGGGGCTCCAAATATTCTGACATCACTCGAGGGGGGGGGGCCCAAGTTGTTCTCTCTCTGACCCGTGGCTCCTGCCTTCGGTATCATCGCTCCGTGTGGGATAATCTCCTCCTTCCTGTGTGAATTAGGAGCAGCAGCAGCAGCAGCAAAGGGGCCCCTGGACCATCCCCACTCCAAACAAAACACCACAGCGAAGAACCCTGGCTCCTCTCCCCTCCCCTCTTTTTCTCTCCCACTGAACAAATGTTTTCCTCTTGGAAAGAGCTGGAATAGCCGGTACACGGCGCAGGAGGAGGTTTTTCCACCCAATATTTCCAGGCTTGTTACCTGGGGGGAGGTAAGAGCCTGCTTTTGGCCTGGTTTGGGAGCATTTCGGAGAACATCCTGCCCAATTTTTCTCAGTTTTTTATCAGATAAGGCAAAAGTGCCAGGATCCAGGGGGATCTTTCCCTCCAGGGCTCTCCCCTCTTCGATTTAAGGTGTCATAGGTGGGGAAAAACCTCCTTGGAGGTGTCCAAGGGTAAACCCAGGGAAGGTGAAAATTGGGAGAGGAATGTTTCCAGGTTCTTGGTGATTCCTTCTGGAGCAGCTGGTGGGGAAATGGTTGGAGGCTGGCAAATGGCTTGCTGGAGGGAAAGAAAATTCCTTGGTTGGTGGAGGGAAAGAAAATTCCTTGGTTGGAGGCTGGCAAATGGCTTGCTGGAGGGAAAGAAAATTCCTTGGTTGGTGGAGGGAAAGAAAATTCCTTGGTTGGAGGCTGGCAAATGGCTTGCTGGAGGGAAAGAAAATTCCTTGGTTGGTGGAGGGAAAGAAAATTCCTTGGTTGGAGGCTGGCAAATGGCTTGCTGGAAGGAAAGAAAATTCCCTCAAGGATGGAGAGGGCAGGAGTTTCTTCCCTACCTCTTTGTTGAAAGGTTTTTTTGGGATGCTGCCGGCTCCTGAACAAGGGCTCTGCTCCACCTCGGAGGGTTTTGTGGAATTCCTGAGCTTTTAAAGCTGATGGATCCCTCCTCTTTCCGTGGAAGGATCTGGCCTGAAGCTGTTAAGAACCGTGTTGTTGGCTTTGTTGGACCCCAGGAAGAGCTTCCAGCCCAGGGTTGGGGAATCTCTGGGCCAGTCAGGACTTGGGAAGTGTTAATTTGAGCAATTTGAGATCTCCTGGAGTTGGGAGGGGGAGGGAAGAGGATGAGAGGGCTCCTTCCCCAAGGTTTTTAACATTCCTGGGATTCCAGGAGAGGGGTCTCAGCAAAACAAAAACAAACCCCTTCAGACTGTCACCCCAATATTTACACAACTATAATAGCTAACAAAGAGCTTTGAGGCTTGAATCAAAAAAAAAAAAAAAAAAATCTCAGCTTTGGGTTTGTTTGAAAAACAAAATCTACAAAAACAATTAACTGAGCCTTGGGGAAACAAAAAAAAAAAAGTGTAATAAAGGGGAGGCAAAACACTGTTATTTTTGGAAATGTTTCTCCGCTGGGCACCAGGAGGAGAATCTGCATCAAGGCTGGGTTTCTCTGCTTTGGGGGGGGGATGAGTCTGAACTGGGGGAAACTGGGAAAGCCACGGAGGGACTGGAGGGGATGATGGGATGCGATGGGTGTCTTGGTCTCCTGGGTCGTGCCCGTGTTGAGCATCTGGTGCTCGGTCCTGGGGGAAACTGGGAAAGCCACGGAGGGACTGGAGGGGACGATGGGTGTCTGGTCTCCTGGGTCGTGCCCGTGTTGAGCATCTGGTGCTCGGTCCCAAAAGCATCACTGTTGGAAGATTCCTGAGCTCAGCCTGTAAAAAAATCACTAAATTGGCTGCAAAAGGCTTCTCAGGTGCAAGAATTTCTGTTTTTTTGCAGAAAAACCTGAAGGGTGAGGCTGAGCGGGGCCCAAACTCAAGGAGATGAACCAAATGGGTCTCGGTTCCTTCCAATATCCCCCCAAAATCTGAAAACCAAGAACCTGCTCTAGTGGGAGGTGTTGTTGTCCCCCCCACACCAACTGGGAAAGCCACGGAGGGACTGGAGGGGACGATGGGTGCTTGGTCTCCTGGGTCGTGCCCGTGTTGAGCATCTGGTGCTCGGTCCCAAAAGCATCGTTGTTGGAAGATTTCTGAGCTCAGCCTGTAAAAAAATCACTAAATTGGCTGCAAAAGGCTTCTCAGGTGCAAGAATTTCTGTTTTTTTGCAGAAAAACCTGAAGGGTGAGGCTGAGCGGGGCCCAAACTCAAGGAGATGAACCAAATGGGTCTCGGTTCCTTCAAATATCCCCCCAAAATCTGAAAACCAAGAACCTGCTCTAGTGGGAGGTGTTGTTGTCCCCCCCACACCAAGCAGGGGGTTGGAACTGGATGATCTTTAAGGTCCTTTCCAACCCAAACCATTCTGTGATTCTAGAAACAAACTCCCAGAGAAGTAAAGTTAGGGTGGTTTTTTTGTTGTTTTTGTTTTTGTTTTTTTTCTAGACAAAGCTATTAGGAAAATTGCTGTTATTAAGGTCAGGACTTTGGAGGTGAAAGAATATTTCAGGTTTCATATTTAAGGAGGAACTGTCTGAGACAGGTTGATCATGAGACCTGGCCTGACCCCCTCGGACATTTCTTGTGTCCCCCCCCCCCAATTTTGTCCTCACTCTGGGGTGTGGGGACAACTCTGGGGTGTGGGGAAGGAGCCACAAAAGTCCTTCTGACCCTTTATCAGCACCAGGTCTGTCTGACGTGCCGAGCTATTGTGCCAAATTGGGGAGGCTTCAGCTGAAACCAGTTATACTGGGCAGTTTTCCTGATGGTTCTGGGTGTTTCTCTCTCAAACCCCAGCCCTCCCCGAGCGCCGGTTTGAAACCTTAAAGGAAATAGTGAATTAAAAGTGTTTTTAGAGCCCAAAGCATGAGGCTGAGGAGCACATGTGGCTCCTGAAGGGCATCAAAAGGGCTCCTCTGAGCTGGGTTCTTCCACTGGGTGAACTGGTGGAGAACTGGATCCGGTGACCAAAACCCACTGGGTTGGAGCAGACCCAAGGGTGGGCTGGGGAAATGAGGAGGAGGGGATTTTGGGGGGGGTTTGTTCTATTACAGCTGAGATTTGGGTCTTAAAATAATCAGAAATAAATGCCTCCTGGGCAGGTGAAGGGTCTGCCCCGGTGTCACTGGAAGAAGAGACTTTGAAATTGAAATTAATGTAATATTGTTGTAAATCTGACCTGTTGCAGTAAGGATTTTGGGGATCTCTGTGTTGGGATCAGAACTCTTGGTGCCCTGCTTCCTCTCTGCTGTGAGAAAGCAAACTTGTTAAAATACAGATATTTATATTAATATATATATATTTATTTTTTTTTTTCCCCAAGAAAAAAAGGACTCTGGGATCTTGCCTTTTCACTGCTTTTAAAAATCCCCACGGAAACACCCAGGAAAGGCCCCTGTGCCTGGTCTTGTGGGGTTGGAGGTGCAGGATTTGTAAGCAGGTGGCAAAAATAGGCTTTTTCTGAGGTTTTTTGGAGCCCTGGTGAGCTCTGTGGTGTGATTTTTGGGCTTCTGGAGGCTGCGGGGAGTAGAATTTGGGGTAATTTTTGGTTCTTGCAGGACTTGGGAGTCGCTCCTCTGTTATCTCAGCCTGTCCCATTCACCCACCCGGCGTCACCGCTGCTCCGTCCGTGTGTCCTTGGATTTTGGGCTCTATCTCTTGTCCCTTTGTGTCAGGGTTTTTGGTTTTTTTTCTTTGGAAACCTCCTCTTTTCCATCCTCTGGCCGAACTCCACGCCGCCGTGTCCCGACTGGCAGCCCAGGAGGGTGATAACATTGTTCCTGGGGGAAGGGCTGGTGGGAGGAGGAGGAGGAGGGTGGGAGAAGAGGAAATTGGAGAGGGATGGAAATTGGCTTTGATTTATGCTGCTCTTGCAAAGGCCCCAGCCAATGGATGTTGCAAACCCGGTAGGTAGGTTGGTTGCTTGCTTTTTTTTCTTTCTTTTTTTTTTTTCTTTTTTTCTTTTTTTTTTTTTTTCTTCATAATTTATACAGCTGGGGTTCGTTAGGGCTACGTGTGCTGTTGGTATTTGCATAAATAATCTCCCCGTGTGTCAAGGACTAGTTGAGACTGACACAGCAAAAATGGGAATTATTTCTTCTTGCAAAGACACAGATTTTTTTACCAAGTCACAGGAAGAAAATCCATTCTGGTCCCTGGTGCATGATGACATCTCCTCCTTGCTTCTTACCCATTTTGGGGTGGTTTTTTTGGGGGGTAGGGTGGGGAGGGATCTTGACCTGAGAGCTCTCCTTGGGATGGATGTAGGTGAGGAGAATTGTCTTCTGGTGCCAAGAGGGGTTCTCCACGGCAGGAGGACACCTGGGTAATTAGGAAGGTGTCTTGTTGGGGGGGGGACCTTCAGGAAGGGGGTGAAGGGATGGGGTGGGAGCTCTGGGACCAGAAGCTTCCAGTTCCCTCACCCAGTTCCCCAGGTGGTGGGACCAGCAGGGAAAGGTCCACGAAGGGGTGGGTGATGATGGGGTGGCAGCAGATCCGAGCCAACCCGTTCCAGCCGGAGCCGGAGGAGCTCGGAAAACCTTCTTTGGCCTCCATGAAGGAGGAGAGGACTCGAGTTACAGCTCCTGGAGCTCCTGGAAGGACCCGCCTAAGGGGGAGGACCCAAGGAAGGGACGGGCTCCTGCCCGTTCGGGCAAACTTGCCTTTTCGGAGCCATAAGTGATGGACTTTGGGGCTGGAACTACGCCGGGTGGAAACTTTCCTTAAGGCACTTGGTTTTCTTTTTTTTTTTCTTTTTTTCTTTTTTTTTTTTTTTTGGGTCCTTGCTTGGAAAAGCACCTTCACCCTCCGGAGATGGGGATGTCCCGGCCGAATCGCCCCCCTCGCTTCCCTCAAAGCTAAAAAATCCCGGGCTCGGATGCGGTGGCTGTGATTTCAGGTAAGAAAACTGGTTGGTTTGGGTTAAATTTGCTGGGTTTTTTTTTTTTTTTTTCTTCGGAGAAAAAAAACAAAACTCTTACATCTACTGGTTCGTAGCTTCCAAAACACCAGCAGGGGGTTGGAATGTTTGGCCGCCTTTAAGGTGGGTGAAAGCAGGTTGG